TTTACGAATTTAACTGCATGTCTGGAGGTTAATGGAGAAATTATATTATGTTGCTCAATAAAATTAAGGTGAGCAAATATCATTTATAGTGCGTTCTTTGATGTCGATAGTAAATTATACAATGTTTGAATTGTGAGTGACGTTTCAACATTAACTTGATTATATAATGTACAATTTATATGAAGACACAAAAAACGTTAAGTTTGTCTGCACTAAAGCGGTGATAGCCTTCACAGGTGCATTTTTTATATTATAAAAAGGTATAAAAATATCTTTGTGCTGATTTTGATCGGTCAATTTGGATGCTAGCTAGAAGCTATAGTAGTCCGAACTGAACAATATCTTAAGAAATATGTTCAAAACGTTGTGAACGATCGAAATCAAGTACTTGTAAGGAATATTTTGTATTTGTAAGCGATATTATAACTTCGGTGTAACCGAAATTAACGTTTTTTCTTGTTTTTTTTATTCAATTCGATCAATGAAATAATTGAAATATCGCTATAAGAACATTATTTTTACTATTATGATTTCTTCACTCTTTTCTCCTGATTGATTGATTAACAGGCTGGAGAAAGCACATTTTTAAATTAATTGGACTTTGGATTCAGCTATCTTCTTCTTTCTTACAGGAATTTGTTCTAACTCAAAATGCCTTTGAACGCTCTATCTTTTCTATCTGTCAGTGACCCCAATTCTCTTTGTGCACACGTATTACGCTTCTGGCGAAAATCGTTCGAACATGGAACAATTTGTAGAAAATAATGCACAAAAATTTATTTAACTACGGCAAGGATGGAGAAAAATAAAGCTAATATTCACCTAAATTATCACACATGGACTTTGTTTTCTTGTGAACTGTGATTTTTCCAACAACTGTTAAAGGCATAAGCCAGTCTAGCGCACTAAAAAAGGCCTAACTATGACAATTTAATCTGGAAGTAAGGAATTAATCGAATTTCTTTTGTACAGGCTTTATTAAATTGACATTTTGTACAAATGGCGGTTACTGGGCATAACTACGGAAACACTTTTTTTCAACAAAGATTCCTCCATCTGAAAAAAAATTAAAATGGGGCTCGTGACCTATATAAAAGTTGTTCGAATAGTCCATATGTTTTTAGCTATACATCAATTTTTTCAAACTTGTCGAACTTGTCGATAGGCTAGAGGTACCAACGTCACGCGGTTTGAAAAATGAAGTTTCCAGAAAACGTTTCAAAAGTTGTTTGTTGGTTACCCGAGCGATTCGAAATTATACCTATAGCAGATTGAGCTATTTTTTTTACTATTCTACTAATTGAATAATGTTTTAAGGACCTTGAAGTCTACTTTAAGTCTAAACTGCAAAATAGATGAAAGATAAAAAATCTTTAACTGGGTTATTAAGATATTCTTATGTTGCTGAGACATAAACTTAAGCGTGGTGTTTCGATATCTGGTTTCTTCGAATATAAAAATGTTTAGATTAATATTTCCGAGCGCAATACATACTTTTTTAAATAATAATAAATTTTTAGAAAAATATAAAAAAAATTATTCCTCAATGAAAAATTGTTTAAAGGGTTTTTATTTAAATTACTATATTTATATAACCATTAATAAAAAATAATGATTAATTACGCTCATTAAAATAACAAATTTCAACACTTGATAGTGAATAATTCATTCGAAAATTGAAACTAGATAAACAAGTGAAGTATCACAAAACTCATTGAAGGTTGATCAAGTGAATATTAAAAGTGACGCGAAGCAGTATGGATAAAATTTATTTAAGTATTCAAAAACATAATAACAATTATAATAACAACAACTGCATTTGAGTGCAACGAACGAGTTTTGATTAAATATTTTCGATGCATAATTAATCTTATATCTCTTTAGTGAAGCTTTTTGTTTTTTTAAGTTTAAAGTTGTTTCTTAACATCTATATATACAAAAGTGCATGCGCATACATACATACATAAAGCATATGCATATAACCGGAAAACAATGCGATTAGCTAATTTAAATCGTTCGCCTGTTTTATAATAGTTTCTATTATATATAGAATATAGCGTCACTTGTGTATTTTCAATGCATTATAAAAATGCGCAAAATATCCGGTTGACAAAAGAAAGATTTAATGAACTTAGAATTTATTATAAAAATATTTAGTTAAGACTAAATGTATGCCAGAATCACACTTCGACAGTGAAAACAACAGTCGTTTGTGATACTAAAATTCCTTGTTCCTAGAGCTCTTTATATAAATATTGAATATATGAAGGCGGTTAATATCGATTCCAATCAATTAGTTCGGTTGACCGAAGCTACGAAAACCAAGATATTTGAACTTCAGTCTAGCGAAAGCTGTACGGTCTCGGAATAAGTGTTCAGATATTTCCACTTGGTCTTTCCTCAGACAATTACTGTCCGTCAACCGCATGTATGCATGTATACTGGAAGTGCATGCTGCCCAAAAACTGCGGCAGGATGAACCTTAGAATAGAATCGAATTAAATTGGGGTGTATGTGACCTAAGGGCTTTCCCACGGACTCACAAAGACGCATAGGCACTCTGATAAATTTCTGGATCTTGCTAGGCGCCATTGACGAAATGTGCTCACTACTTGGATATATAGATAGGCGTTATTCCAGCGTCTACAAATCGCAACACAAGCTAGAAGCAGATAGCCTAGAGTTTTCTACCTTGTTAGTTCAACGAACCTCTTGCATTTTATTCTGTGTCAAAAGGAGCCCGCAGTCATGCAAATGCTGGTTTTTCACAATGCAATGAGAACAACATTTTATAGTTACAAATGTATGTAAGTGTAAACCACCGAAAAATTTACTTTAATGCGTAATAAACGCATTTCAGATTCAGATTTTAAAGTTCAAAACAATAGTATCGTATGCCAAATTCTTCATTTCCAATGCAGACAGCGTGCAGTCCAGCACAGAAATCACCGAAACCCATACGAAATTCGCACAAATGTGACGCCTCTCCAGCTCAAGTGTCAAACGCGAGGGCAAACACGAACGCGAGTGATCAATTAAATGCGCGCGCATGCAAATTAGCCGTGATAAAATTTTATTTTATGCAAATAGCAACAAAAAAAAAACAACAACAACCTTACCCCTACAGCCGGCTAAACGCGCCGTAAGTTTGCCAGCCATTGCCAATATATTGCCGCGTTTATAATTAAGCAATATGAATATGATTTCCGCATTGCCCACTTAAACAAATTTTTTAATTCTCTCTGCTTTTCATGCTTTTATTTTTGTTGATTTGTTTGCTGATTTAATACACGCTTTAAAGCGTTTACGTGCGCTGTTTAGTCGGCAATTTATTTTCATTTCCGATTAGTCAATCTAAATATGCTATTGCTGTATCGGAAGACAGCTGGCGCAAGCGCAAAATCACAACGTTCTCGGCGTTTTTTGTTTTTTTTTTTTTTGGCCAGAACTAATGAATACAATATTTATATGTATTCCATATAAACACCTTTTATTGTTGTTCCGAGTGTTAAGTTAACGCGATTGCGGCGAATTAATATGCTGTGAACGAAGTTTTTTTAAGCGCTCGGCTGAACTTTTCTATGTATTTTTAAATTACAGCCATACAAATACTCTAAAAAACGAAAAGCAATAAATTATACAGCTTAGGTCAGCAGTGCTGATAGGTGTAATGTTCGAGGTCATTCAAGCTGTCAAATCACAACGCCATTTACACAGCACAGAAAGCAGAGTTGTGAGATGGAATGTTTAGTCCCGATATTTACTAGCCAGACATTTTTCACGCTTCACCAACAAGTCTCTGCTTCTTACAAAATATTATACAACAATTTAAGTATATACTTCTATATTGTAGCTAAATTTCCTTCCAGCAATAAATTCCTTGAGCTCTGAAAACAGGAAAATAAGCGCAAGATTTGGAGAATATATTGGATGTGTAAGCATTGGCAGCTCAATTCAGGCAGTTCTAGGAGCGAATGCTAGAAATAAACTTTTTTGCTGCTAATCTGAAGTTAGGATCGAACCTACATAGTTACATTTTAGTCCAATCACTATGCAAGAACATTGTATTCCGATAATAATTTTACACTCGATCACAGTATTTTCATATTTGATTAAAATGATAGTTTATAGTATACCATATAAGTATCACAAACTCTGATTATTTGACCATGAATATTTGTACATTTTAAAATGATTCGCATTTTTAATACTGAACTATTTTTCTTAATAAAAAAAAAGTGTATGTGTAAATTTTGTAAAAAGAAATAAAAAAGTGCATTGGCATGCAAAATGCTTTGTAATTTTGAAAATTGATAATCTATCGGTAGCGCCAAAAAGGGTTTTTATATTATCCGACTGGCAAATTTTTGAAGACTATCTCAAACTCACTCATTTCGTTCAGTTTGGAATTACAATCGTGGGTTCAGCAAAGAGTTTTGAAACATATGTATTTAAAAAGTATAATTTATGGAATGAATACAAAAAGAAAAAGTAAAGGATAATTAGAGAATTATGGCTTATTGGCTGAGAATGGTTCTGAGAACACTATCGTCAACAGTCTAATTAACTTTAATTGCTTATAGGTCATTTAGAAGCAAGTTTTTTTAAGTTTTGATTGTCAGTTCAATAAGAAAAAAGAACAAGTATTAGTGGTCTTTGCTTTCTCCACCTGTGACTTATTTCCTCGAAGAGATAGCTAATAGAAAATTTGACTCAGTGCAAACTGAATAGTGCTGGTGAACATTTTGTTGATTGTGTATCATTTTCATGCTTTTTGATGATGGAGTTCGGCATTACCAAGTGCTATAAAGTTTAGGCAAGTTCTCTAGTCAAAATTTGAACTTTGCATCTCATTTTATGGGATAGGTATACTTATATATACTGTATTCCTCTTTTCAAGGCAAATTACATACTGTTTTACATTAAACGATTTTTGCAATAAAACGGGTAGATTGCTTGGGCAAACATTCCGTCATGTGTTAATTAAATTTTACGATGTGTGCAGAGATTTTATATGACATATGTATTGTATATTCATACTTGTGGAATCTTCAATTTTTGTTTTGTACCTCATTGATTGACGACATCACTTGTCTTTTTAGTAATGCGCCAGTAACAATTTGTATGCAGTGATTTGCACGTGTCGCACACTTTAAGTACGTACTGTAATGCGAAAAAACAACAACTTATACTTGAACTTTCAAGTGTTCCCAGAGATGGGAAAAATCAACTTCAAGGTTTTGTAAAGCAAATATTATGTACAGGTATATACGATTTATATACTTAAGAATTATATATGTATGACATCTTTAAAAATTTTAGATATGTATCGCATTCTGTGGATATTTATGTAATGGTCAACATAAGCAAACCAGTAGTGAGAGGTCGTAAACAATTTAACAGGTCAGGAAGGTTTTTTATACGTTTGGTGGGATTGGCAGGTAATCATCTACTGTGAGCTGTTTCCCTCCCAAACTCATAATTCGGATATGTGCTGTAAACGATTGGACTGTCTGAAGGAAGCAATCACCCAAAAGCGGCCAGCTGTAACTGTGTTCCATCACGACAGAATCAGGCCACATCCAACGACAGTGATAAGGCCACATTTGTATGAGTTCCTAAAAGAAGCATCGTTGTCAATTGGAAACAGGGAAGATTTTGGAAGGCTGGCAGTCAACAAAATTTGTGGAAACTTCTGTCAATATTTACGTCAACTTTTAAAAAATTGCAAGAATGTAAAAAAGTTAATACCGGAATAAATGAGAAGAGGTACATACTGATATACAGGATTCACCCAAGTCATGGAGGGAACATTTTCCAATCTAATGAACCAAAAACTGGAAGGAATATGGAGTAGCAATACTGCTGTTGCGGTGATATAAAACGTTTATCGATTCTTACATACATATATTCTTCTTAACTTATAATTAAAATTTAAGTTCACCATAAATAAACTGATTGTTCCTTATTGGTGTGGTTTTATACCTTCGAAATATATAATTGATCGGAGATTTTTTATGCGCCAAGTCTTAAAAAAGATCTAGGAAAAATTTATCGATATTACCCGCTTATCCGAGCATACATGCCAATATTTCTAAATGTGAGTCCTTAATTTAAACTTTCTTAATATACAGAAAAGCAGCTTGAATAATAACTCAATTCAAATCACGACAGTCGGATCTAAGCGAAGTTAACTTTCGTGCTATCGATCAAAGTATCAAATTAAAAAGAACGATGCTTGTCATTGTTATTGCTTTTCCAGCAGCATTCAAAATTGCCAAAACATTTGCGGGAATTATTGTCGTGTTGTTAGTCCTTAGCCAGATAAAAATCCGGAACAATTGTCATTACGAATTCACGCCAAATGAGAAAGTTTTACAACAATGGTTAATCCTTGGCTTTTTATAATTTAATTTCGAAGAAAATGTATTTATTTAAAATTAACATGTACATAACCTGTCTAATAAAAAATATTTATAATCGAATTTATTAGAAAACGTTTAATGGTTTATTATAATATAATATTTATAGTTAACAATTTTCTGGGAAAATTATATGGATTTAAAAGGAAAATAAAAATAAATGCATTTACTATGAATTAAACCAGCGCGTTCAACAATTCCACACTACATTCTTCACATAAATAAGCCAACAACAAATTAATAAACTAGTATTCAAATAGAGAAAATGATAGAGTTAAGAGATAAAACATTAAAAAAAAACCGTTTTATAAACTACTTTTTTATTTGTTTGACAATTATAAAGAGCGCATTCACATATAATTATATGTGTTTGTTTTGCAAATAATAATTTTCTATTATAATACAATTGTATGCTTTACTCTCCCTTATAGACTGGTTTACGTTTTTCCGCAAACGCTTGCAGACCCTCCAAGCGATCTTTGGTTGGAACAACCTGAGAATAGCAAATTTCCTCGATGGAATAGCCAGTGTTTAGATCAACTTGTATGCCCTTATCAATTGCCAATTTTGCCATTCGCACACCCACCGGACCATTTGGCAATATTTCCTCGGCAATTTCTAAGGCTCTCTGATACGCAGCATCCCCGGTTTCATTTTGTGGCACAACATGATTGACAATACCAAAATCTTTGGCCTCCTTACCGTTGAGTACACGTGAAGTGAAAATTAGTTCTTTGGCTAACGCGGGTGAAAGTATGCGTGGCAAACGTTGGGTACCACCAGCACCAGGTATAATTGCTAAACGTGTTTCCACCAAACCCAGTTTCGTATTCTCTGCAGCTGTACGCATGTCACACGCCAAAGCCATTTCTAATCCACCACCGATTGCATGGCCATCTAGTGCAGCAATTGATGGCATTGGCAACTGTTCCAGTGCGATTAGCAATTCACGTAAACTTGTGACAAATGCGCTAGCGTCATCTGGAGACATTGTTTTTCGTTCTTTGAGATCAGCACCAGCACAGAATATGCCAGGCGATGAGCTGCGTAAGATCACACATCTAGATCCATTGTCATGTTCCAGCTCATCTATGACATGTTCGAAGGTTTCCACCAAACTACGGCTGAAAGAGTTTTTCGCCTGCGGTCTGTTGAGACTAATTACTGTAATACCCTTGCGTTCGCCATCCAGTCGTTCTACCAACACTTCATTGCCAGGTTCCGCAGAAGCAAAACAACGAATACGAAGAGTATTGAATAATGTTGGCGTTGCAAGTCGTGTAAATCTACGCAGCATGGCTTTATTATAGAGATTTGTTGGTTTATAGATAGTAATAAACTTTATAAAAAGTGATTATAAAACAATGATGAGCACGCCGCTGTCAAAGACCGGTTGAAATATGGAATAATAAAAGCAAAACAAATAATAAACAAATCAGCTGATTAAAGATCAGAATCAGAGAACGTATATCATGATATACGTTCTCTGGCAGAATTGAGAAATTGCGTAAACGCTATAGGGTAATACAAGATAACAAAAGCTGTAAAAATATTTATTTTAATTGGGAACATTATATGTTCTATGTTCATAAGTAAATGTTTAATTTATGATAGATAGTAATAATTTGTATTTGTAAATGAATAAGTGTATGAGTCGATACATTTTACTACTGTGTAACATTTTATTCAAATTGCAAAAAAAAATCACTCTATTGTGAACGTTTCAATGTTATCAGATGGTGTGTGCTTTGGCTAGACAAAAACCAGAGAACGTACAAAAACAAAAAGCGTATAAAAACAACTAGACGGTCTGTTGTCAAAACTAAACTGACATTAAAGAAATTTAAAGCAGCTGCGGCAACTAAAAGTTGATACAATTTTTTTTAATATTGGATGCAAAATTAATATTTTGTGTATATAATATTCATACAATAATTAGTGATGAAACGTTAAATATCAGCATATACAATATAATATTTCATTGGTTTTGTAAATAGTATAAACTTCTTTAAGCTGTTTGCTGATGACGTAGTTTACCTAGGATGTACGTCTGGTGAAGGCAACAAAAAAAGGAAAAACAAACGCAAAGGAATGTTTTATACAAGCACTTTGATAGCAAATAAATTAACCAATTAGTTCAAATACATCACATTTAAATCCTAAACATACTAACAGGATTGTAAGTGTACAAAACCATTATTTAAAATAAGAATTTTGTTATTGTCTGTTTTAATGCCGTTGCAGTGATTCTTTGCTTTTTTTTTATTTACTACAGTGAAGTAAAGTAAAAAGCTAATTGCCTGCATAATTACTAAGAAATAAATAGTAAAAAGTTAATTTAAAGTACTTTTATATTCTGCGCGCGTCTAACTACCACAACTCACTTCTGTAACGGTCAATATAAAATGCTGCCGCGTACAGCTGAAATTGTGCGTGTGCTGCGAGTGCGACAGCATTTCTTTGGGCGAAAAAGCTTGCATGCCTTAAGTAATGTTGTGTCCATTGAAAGGGTAAGTTTGATATTTGAAAATAGAAATTGTAAAATAATTAATACATTTCATTTACAGCTGAATCAACACTTGTCGTCTAATGATGCATTTAGACTTACATACAGCAGAATTTCAAATAAATTATCAAATGCTCATCACCTGCGTTGCGCCTATTCCTCCAAGAAGGTAGTACCATTAAACACAATTTTTGTAACAAAAATTCGTTTATATAAATCTTGTTTAGATCGAGGCTGCTGCTGTTACCAGTGCATCCAGTTCGTCCGCCAGCATTGGCAATGAGGCGACCTCAAAAGTTAAAACTACCAAAAAATCCGCTACAGAACCTAAGCAAATTATGAAATCCGCCACAACCACCAGTGCATCAGTGACGGACGACGCTGTGCTATCCAGTGAAACTAAAACGATGGAGGTTAAAACCAAAAAAGGCATACTCTCCATCACTGCCACTATAGAAGGCTCGAAAATAAATGATATAGTTTTCGAGAAAACGAAACCACCTGTTGTGCCAGAGACAGCAATACCACCAGCGAAATTACCTGTTAATGATGTGCTAAAAGAGACAGCGCAAGCAGCCGCTGCACAACTACAGACATCACCCACAATCGACGCAGCGGCGACAGCAGCGACAATGGCTGCTGCCACGGCCAATGCGAAGGCGGCCATTGCAAAAGCAACACAACCAAAAGTCGTTACGACCATAACAACGGATGCTGGCGTAGCGCCAGTAACAACAGCGGATGTGCAACAAACAAAGCAAGCAACGCCGTCAGCTGTCGAGCTAGTTGTGCAGAAGCCGGTAATAACTCAACAAACATTTTATGCACATTTTATAATTTAATGTTATTTTCGTACAATTTAAAGAAGCGCGTTTTGGTGGACTTCAATCGTTCCTCCTTGGAGCGCAATTTCATAACACCCGCACGCGCTATGAGCGACTTTCTGCTGAAAGCCTCAGATTTAGAGTGTCTGTCTAAGATAAAACGTCGCTCGCCATACGAACAAGAGCCACCTATAACGGTGTATTGGCGTAAGGATGTCGAAGCGAAGGCGATCGGTGTGTGGGGCTCACGTGAGAGTTTGCTTAAAGAACAGCTGAAGCGCGAAGTTGAACGCAAAAAGCATCAACAAAGTAATTCTTTATATTTATTAGTTTATGTATACAGATTTAATGTTTATTATTTTTTTTTTACAGATCTCTTCACAGTGAAGCGCCGTTTGCGCGATTATCGACGTGAAATTGGCGCACGTACAGTGGTGGTTGACTCGGAACCCGGTTTGACTGGCAAATCGGGCAAAGTTGTGCTGATTGCAATTGGCATGTAAGTAGAGCGTCTTATTAAATGTGCCGGTTTAGTTATAAATCTTCAATTATTTCTTTACAGTAACGGTCTCAATTTCCTCTTTAAATCATGCGGTTGGGTGTACTCTGGTTCGCACAGCATGTTTGCCGAGAGCATACACTCGCTGGCCGACACAATAAACCAACTCATTTTAGCTTATGGCATACACAAGTCGACACAAATGGCCGATTCGGACCATCCTTATGGTTATAGTAATATGAAGTATGTTTCTTCGCTCATTTCGGGTGTTGGCATATTCTGTGTGGGCGCTGGCTTATCGGTGTATCACGGCATAACAGGTCTCATGCATCCCGAACCCGTAGAGAATTTCTTCTGGGCTTTCTTCATACTGGGCGGTTCGCTGGTGTCCGAGGGTGCCACACTCATTGTGGCGCTGAACGAATTACAGCGCGCCGCTAAGTGTAGCGGTGTGTCCTTCAAGGATTATGGTGTGTTAACAAGCTACATAAATTATGTTATTAAATTTAATTTACTTTTTTTATGTAGTATTGAGTGGCAAAGATCCTTGTGTTAATGTGGTGCTAACTGAGGACGCTGCGGCTGTAACCAGCGTGGCTGTGGCAGCTACTTGCATGGGTCTCACTTCAATTACCGGCTTGCCAGTGTTCGATGCTGTTGGCTCGTTGTTGGTGGGTGGTATTTTGGGCGCTGTAGCCTCCTTTATTATCTACACAAATGCCACGGCGTTGGTGGGCAAGTAAGTGTTGTTGTACAAAATTGCGTTTGTATGCATTGTTATAACGGTACTTAATTGTCGCTTGCAGATCAATATCGGAAGATTTGTTGAATAAGATAAACGCTGAGCTGGAAAGCGATGTGATGATACGCGCCATACACGATGTCAAAGGCATTGATATGGGCAATTCTTTAGTGCGGTACAAGGTAAGCGAAACTTGTGCTTTAAATGTTGTAAGTTTTTAACTAAATATGTAAATTTTTTTTATTGTATTTTTATGTAGGCCGAAATGGATTTTGATGGCCGTGAGTTGACGCGCTCATATTTGGATAAACAGGAATTGAACGATCTCTTGAAGGAAAGTGATACTTATCGTTGTTATTGTTTTTGTTTTATTTGACAAGATATCTTCACGAAATTTGGCATGAATTATTGTCCAAGACAACGGTATAATATCTGAAGAAATTCATCCGATCGGACCACTACTGCATATAGCTGCCATACAAACTGGCTGATGAATCAAGTTCTTGTATGGAATATTTTGAATTTGTAAAGGGTTATTATAGCTTCGGTGCAAACGCAGTTGATGTTTTTCCTTGTATTTATATACAATTTATGCTATTAACTAAAAATTGTTGTTAAACATTTTTCTAACCTCTGTTTCTTTTTATATCTTCTTTTAGACGGTACAATCATTCCAGAAAGTTGAAGAACTGGAGGAGTTTCTATTGAAGCACGGCGAGAATATTGTTGACCTCATGGGTGGCGAAATTGATCGAATAGAAATGAAGCTAAGGGTATGAAACTAATTTTTTTTTGTTTGTTTATAATTATTTTTATTAATTCTATTACTGCTTTTCTTTGCAGAAAAAATTCCCCGAAATACGGCATTGTGATCTAGAGATTTTGTAAACTGCTTAATAAGTCTTATATTTAACTTTACTTTAGTGTGTAAAGCGCAACGCATGGCTCATGGTCAAAACGTCAGGTTCAAACATACATAAATACATATGTACGTGTATACTCGACATGTTCAATCTGCACGTGTTGTTGTGGTAACGTTCGTTGTATATAAGCGAAGAGTGCTACTTTTATTGATATGGAAGCGCAATTTGGACGCTAAAAACGTTAACTAAGTTTCATGCTGTGAAACCACAATAATTTTAACTATTTATGCTTGAATTAATAATTATTTCACTGTTATACTTAACTTAAAAAAAAAAAAGAAAAACCACTTCATTTATTTTGGTATAAAAGCTAAAGCGATTTCATCGACTATTATATACAGGAACAAAATGATGAAAATAAAATTGTAATTATATTTATGTTAATTGTGTTCTTTTGTTAATCGTGTGAATTGAACACAATTATTTGCCATAAAATGTGCAAAGATTTGAAAATGCTGTGTCTGTATACACACAAACTAGACCCTCAGCTTATGAGATATCCATCTGAAGTCTTGCACACGTCCTTTTCTATTCAAGAAGCTGCTCATTTGTCGGAACCGCCAATATCGAACTACTATAGCATATACTATATACTATGTAGCTATCATACAAACCGATCGATCCAAATCCAGTCTTTGTATGAAATTTTTTTTTTATTTGATCATATATCTTCACGACATTTGGTTCGAATTATTGTCCAAGGCAACGGTACAATCTCCGAAGAAATTGTTTAGATCGGACGACTGTAGCATATAGCTGCCATACAAGCTGATCGATCGAAATCAAGCAAAAGAGCTTTTTATGCTATAAGAAACACAACTGTTAAGGGGTTAGGGGTAGTCAGAATTTTCAAATAATACAAATTTTCGTCAAGTGTAATATCTTAAAAATATTCCCAGAAAATTTTAAGTTGATCCGATAGTTACTTTCTGAGTTATTCGACAAATAACAAAGAGCGCTCGGGCACTTCAAAGCACTCGAGAGCGCTAGTGTGAAACTTTAAATGCGTTTTTCTCAAAACTATGTTTTTTGAACTGGTGACAACTGTAACTCGAAAACCGCTTAGTACATTTTAATGAAATTTATACAGCTTTTAGAATACATAATAAACTCGGGCCTGATCGAAGGATTTTTTTTTCAAAAATTTCGTTTTTTTGGGACCAATTAACTGTTGATTTTTTCCCAAAAGTCTAGAAAAAAATTTCCTGAGGAGCCATTTTGTTAATTTTTGAAAAAACAAAAATAGCTTCGATCAGGTCCAGGATTATCTATATATAACACTAATTTTTTTTATCCGATTGATTTTAGATGACTTTTCAAGGACTTCTGATTGTCAACGCAAGGACCTTTTTTGGGAACTGGGAACATAGACAGCTATAACTTTGGAAATACAAATTTTTTTTTTGAAAATTTCGTCACTTAAAGGCCAAGCATGGTATTATATAATAATGACATATTACTACTTTTGTAAAATAACATGACTTAATAGCAAAACAAAAAAAATACTAAAAATTCTCATTTTTTCGTGCCTCTGACTACCCCTAACCCCTTAAGGATATTATGACTTTGGGTAGCCGTAGTTAACGTTTTGTCTTGTTTAAGTTTGAAACTTGCTATCTTTTTTTCAAAAACTTAAAAAAAAACAATTTCTATAGCAGTGTATTAAAGATCATTTTGGGTCTGCTATTAATATTACACCAAAAAACGAGACCGAAATAATCGTCAGTTCCCTTCATACCGTTACTATATTTCGTTGTTGTGGTTGTAGCAGCAAAAAACATTTCCAAACCATTTGGTAGCCCAGGTGCTGTCAGATCTGCATGCACTTTGTCGCCATCATTTGTTTGAATCGCTGATTTCACTGTGATTTTAAAAAAATTTCGATAGAGCATTGCCTTTTATGTGTACAATTAAGTCCAAGTCATTAAGTCCACCATGTTGCTATTGGTATTTAACTGGGTATTTAATTATAACAATACAATAGGAAGATTCTTCTAACGATAATTGGATCTACGAAAGCACAACGAGTCTCCGATTTATAATCATTCAAGGTCTATCGTCTCGACCGGATTTCTTAAAGCAATGCCCAGACTGTTCTATCCGCTGAAATTCATGTTTGTAGCATGTTCTGAGTTCAATCGTCTTACTCAAGTCCTCAATTGTGAAGTACTGGGCTTCAGATATCTCTTTTCCTCAAAGACACCATCAATACGTTCTATTTTAAGCTCTCTGCTAATTACAGATCAGTTTAACTTCGGAGCTATTATGTTCCACTTGGTGCCAGCAATGATTCTTTAACAGTGATAAGCTTCAAAAATATTCAAAAGCCCAATGGTCAGATTATTGAGAGCGCTCCAAACAACATCCTTAAAAATATGTTATATCTCTGTGTTCTTTTATTGGATTTATCGCAAACGATACTGCTGTCCTCATAATGTTGTTTGAATGGAGTTTCGGTATTGAAATAACCAAGAGTATAAAGACTTTACTGGTGCTACGAAAAGCGCTCCATGTGCCGAAAAAATGAGGCGTACTCAGAAATATGAACCAAATTGTGTTGAAGACGAATTATCTTTCGTAGCTTTTTGAATATGGTTTTGTGCTTGACAACTGCATACCAAGCTTTTCTGGAATTTTTAAAGTTCCATCTCGCCGAACTGATAGGAGTTCTAACCGGACACTGTCCTATTAATATGATAAACTAACCTAACATAACTTAAATACATGCATATGTATGTGTCGATTTCAAACATTGTAACACTTGAAAATGAAGCTCTTATAATTTAAGTCAGCTAAAAATGTTTCAAATCATTTCATCCATTAAGAACATACGCTGATTTTAAATGTCATAATTTGACTTCCGTGGTGTCACCAAAGTTTCGAGTTCAAACGAGTTCAGTGGTACCGTTTTCCTCCTATTCATTCGCGCACATTTTTTAACTACGATCTCTATGTATATGTATGTAAGTATATAAGCGCATCAGTTCGCAAGTGTCTTGAAATGCTGTCACTTTTGTTCACTTTTACTTTCCGACAAGTCAATTTACATAGCCACGCCCACCGCCCACCGTGCCCGCGCGTTCGTTTAAATTGTAAACATAAACAATTATTCTCTACTTTGCTTTTGTTTACATTTTAAATTACATACTTGTATAGATACATATGTATATACATATGCAAATATTCATATATGTACATATATATATGTATACTTGTGCATTTCCTAAGCCATTGAACGTATGAGTTGCCGGCCTTTTATCATGCAAATTTCTTAGCTAATCGCCCGTAGCAGCTGTTAATTGTAAGGCTAACATGGAATGCTATAACGGTTTGTTGTTAGAAACCCGCAATGGAGGGTTGCAGACCAAAAATTTTAACATTTCTTGCTGTGATTCTCATATCTTGGTTTTAGGCTTGTCTGAGGTAGCTTTGAGATTTTCGCGTTATATATATTTCCTAACCTCATAAAATCCTTTGGCAGACACCTTTTGAGTAACAAGGTGAAAGAATATATGTACATATGTTTATAGTACCAAATGCTTTCTTTGGATATTTTATAAATATCTAGAAATCCCAGAGACAAACAAAAGGTAAGAGCTTGTTAGTCGCCTTTGTCTTAATATGGTTCTTCTGATACTGCAAACTTCTAAAACGACTATTAGAAATCAAGTCGTTTGATTATTAGCAAACCGAATCATTAAGTTAATAAACTTATTTACTTCTGCTCAAATATAAACGAGACTTTATCCATAACTTGACAAGGACATGACATATGGCCACACTTTTTTTTGCTTAGGTTGGCAGGACTGTTATATGTTTACATGTCAAATTTGAGCGCGATCTGTCACATAGTTTTTTTTTTACGGCACTATAAACAAGTCAACCTCGAGTGTGTTTTTCGAATTTTACTATGGAAATTAACGTTGAGCAAAGAGTTTGTTTGAAATTTTGTTATTTCAATGGAATAAGTGCGACGGACGCAATGAAAATGTTGCAGAAGGCATATGGGGAGTCTTGCCTATCACGTGCACGTATATTTGATTGGTATAAGTCGTTCAAGGACGGCCGTACATCGCTGGAGAACTTGCCCCATGATCGTCGTCCAGCAACGTCAATAAACGAAGAAAACGTCGAAAAAGTAAAGAAAATTGTGTTGGAAAATCGTCGTGTGACTGAAAGAGAGATAGCTAGTGAGCTCAACATATCAAATGGATCCGCTCATAGCATTATTCACGATGTTTTGGGCATGAGACGTGTGTCTGCTCGACTTGTTCCAAAATTGTTGAATTTTCTTCAAAAAGAGGAACGCAAAACTGTCGCCAAGGAAATGCTCACAATGAGTGATACGGACATCCAGCACATCATAACTGGTGACGAGACTTGGGTCTATGAATACGACGTTGAAACAGCCCAGCAATCATCTGAATGGCGCCTTCCAAATTAGCCGAAACCCAAAAAACCACGTCAAAGTCGATCGAAAATCAAAGTTATGCTCACTGTTTTCTTTGATAGCCAAGGTATTGTGCAGAAGGTCAATCCGTTAATGCTGAATATTATTTATCCGTTTTGAAGTGTTTGCGTGAGAATATTCGTCTCAAAAGGAAGGATTTGTGGGACAACAAGTCATGGTTTCTACATCATGAGCCAGCTCATACGTCTCGTCTTGTACGCGATTATTTGATCAAAAACAACGTAAATATTGTTCCGCAAGCACCGTATTCACCCGACATGGCACCGTGTGACTTTTTTCTTTTCCCTAAACTCAAATTGCCGCTTCGTGGAAAGCATTTTCAGTCGATTGAAGTCATAAAAGAGAATTCGAAGAAGGAACTGAAAGCCATACCTAAAGCGGCCTACCAGAAGTGTTATGAAGATTGGAAAAAAAGGTGGCATATGTGTATCGCCACTAATGGTGACTATTTTGAAGGGGATAAAATAAATATTGAAGAATAATTAACCGTTTTTGTTTTATTGAGCCAGTCTCGTTTATATTATTTGAGCAGAATTACTCCGCCATTAGGGGTTGAGGGTTTACAAGATCATAGATACGAATATTGTGATCTGCTCAAAAGATCAAGCAATCATTAGATTTTGCGTCATTTTTTGTTAGTGTTGTAAAACTAATGTATCACTCAGGTACTATATCGACTATGTCGGTACTCAAGTCTTGATATGCATAGTATTATATATCGATATATATTAGAAGAAACTTTTATCTGACTGCAGTAAGTCTATTATAAGAATAAATTAGAAATAAATAGAACCATTTAAAAATCTGGGGTGACATACCTACATATATCCTTAGGGCTTAGTCAAAAACGGAAGTAGAAACTATTGCTCTTTCTAACGAGTATCACCAGGAAAAGGGTTCCATCTGGAGTTCCTCGATTCAATGCATTCTAAAGTATTCTTAGCCTATCTGCGATCAAAAGAGTAATGGCAGCTACAATAGATTAAGTCTTGAAATCGATATCAACTTCCGAGAGCTCATTGTTTGACGGTAAGCGATGAGACTTAAGCAATCCGTAAGTTTTTTGCGTTCTCTAGTGAGTCCAAACTGGATACTATCTATATAACAACTCGCTGAACTTAACAAAGATTCGGAGCAAAGGATATTTCATTTCAGTTGACTGAAAGTGGAGAATGCGTACTTTCAGCACATATTTTATACGGCGTCTTAAGAGTAAGTAGCTTGAGATTACTCCTTCTATAAAAATTAATTATTGTTAGCTTGAGCATTAAAGGCTTTGTTATGTTTACCATTTAATACCCTAAACTAATTGCTTTTTTTGGTAGGCCTCCCAATAATATAATATATAAAGTGTATTTAAGGTAGCAGGTTGGAATGGTATTTTTGGTGAACCTCGTTTTCGTCATATCCTGTGTAGTTTGTCAGCTTTAACATTACCTCTCGTATCGAAGTACGTGCATTATTTCTGACTAAAAAACGTTCACCACACCTTTTGCAACAGAAAAAATCGTTTTGACTCTCAATTTTCGACATAATATCAAGACTGGAACTGAACTCGCGTTTTTGTATAAAATTTTATAAGAGCCGCCCAACTAATTGCTTTAATTATTCATAACCTTAAATAAATAAACAATTATGCACTCTTCTCCAATCAGCTTTCTTCACTTCTATCTGCACTTAACTGTCATATGTAAGTCCAGCCGCCATTTCATAACATCACCTTAAAAGGCTACTAATTTAAACTCAATTCAACGCAGCAGAGAATTTCGGCCCACACCTGCCACGATTGTCTGTAGCGCAGCTATTAGCACATTATGCTCGCCAGCGCTGGATTGCGCTAGCCGCTGGTCCGCCTTTCAATTCAGTTTGAATTTAGCGGTGCGCGCCAACGGCAGTAAGTGGCTCCGAAAGACAATTGTCAATAAGTGTACAACAACAAAGAAGCAGAAAAGACTAACGAAATAAATTAATTTAACGATTTGTTGTACTTAAAAGGTAGAGCCACTGTCAACAGCGAATTTGCGAGAGACCTTTTATAGTGGAGCGCGTTTGCGCCTGATAAGAGCATATACTCGTATGAACCTACATATGCTTCGGTCGAAAGTTAGTGTGCGAAACGTGAAGAAATTTCAGTGAAACAAACAACAACTACAATAATAACGTAGAAATGCACCAAATGAATGTAAATAAACAAAAAATACTGTATTGAACGGTGAAAAAAAGAAAAAAAGTGTTAAAGAGGTCATCCAAAGCCAGTGTTTCGTACAAATATGCTTCATGATCGATTCACGTCTTCTCATAAGCAGGAACCGAAACTATTACTTATATTTATTTCGAAATCAGTTGTTTTTCGCGTCGGTTGAGTGCGTTAACACTGTCTGTCTAATTGTATATAATTCTAAGTTTCGATATAAGATACATATATTCGATATAGCCATTATGTTGGTTATTAAGAAAGTCAAAGTTACGAAAATTTGCCGAGATCTTTCCAAGCTCTCAAAGACACCACTGCAAGTTTTAGTCTAACAAAATATTCGCTCAGAACTCATCTTATGAATCCTTATCATATCTAACTTTTATTAAATGAACTGATAGATAGATTGCTTTTTTGAATTAATATTCGATTTGTCTCGCCTTAACTTAGCATATCTCATTTTTAATTCCTTTATAGAGTTTCATGGTGGTAAACAGTTAGGTATAGTATTTCAATTGGCAAGGATAAGTTCTTATTGTTGCCGCGGGTGAAAATATTCCTTAAACATATTTAAGTAATACTGTCAAGTTCCAGACACTCCTAATCTAATAAAAATTCGGGTTCGCTCCGGTTACGTAGACGTAACTGTCATATGAGCTTGAGATAAGTACAATAAACCAACTGAATGATTCTGCACAACTTTAATAAATGTTAGAGTTTATGGTATATGCTCTTTGTTGCTTTTAATGAATTTTTTTACAATTATGCAGCAAGGTGCACCGTACACATTCCCGCGCCACAATCGATTTGGTTCTATCTTCAATTATTAGCAATTATGTATGTCTTGAGAATATTTTTTAGACTGACACCTGCTACTAAAACTAGCATAATTTGGACTCCATTAATATTAAACGCCGCACTAAGAAACAATAAATATTATAATTTATTTTTGGTTCTCATTGAGCATAAATAACGAAATTTATACAATAACTCATCATCAAGAGGATCTCCAAAAAATTTAGCGCAAAAGTCCATTTTATTTCTTGTACTCGTTTTTTTTAGCAAACCATTACTTTCTCTTCCTGTAATTAGCGTCTCCAGCAGTTTTTTTATTAAGTCAATTAGCAAACTGCTTATATCATAGGCAATCTATATAACTTATATATGTATATATATATATATATATATCTAATCTACTAAATTAAAAGGTGGACCGAAAAACCTGGAACTGAATACAGCAACCGATTCTTATACCCTGAACAGGGTATATTAAGTTTGCCACGAGGTTTGCAACACCCAGAAGGTAACGTCGGAGACCCTATAAAATATATACATAAATGATCAGCATAATAATGTCCGAAGAAGTTGTTTAGATTGGATCACTATAGCATATAGCTGCCATACAAACTGAACTGAATCAAGTGAGGGGTTATAGTTTCGGTGCAACCGGAGTAACCGCTTTTTATTTTTTCATAATGAACATGATATGAGATTTTGGTTATGAAAAATGGACTTAATGCCTAAATAGAATGTCCAAGTGGGATACTCCAAATTAATGTGAACAAATTAATCAAAGGGTAAATTTCTTTACACAAAAGAAGAAACTATAAATCTTTTAAAAAAATGCTTAATAAAATCCCCGTCTGAACTCCCTCTATGCTTATAGATTTTACAGCTGACAGTTGTCATTTCATGTTCTGATTATAAACTAACCAAAACTCCTTCTTTCGGTGAAGTTTACCAGAACTTAACTGACAGTTGGTTGCTAACCAGATATTGATAAAAACATGTTTCAACATGTTGCCGATAAATTTCTGGTTAAGCTTTTAACCAGACATTGAGAAAACGGCCCTAAGTAATTGAAGTCCTATTAAAAACTGAATATTTTTTATCTCTTAAAGATATTGAAATAGACAGGTTCTATTATCACATGTCACCTACTCATAACCTTAGGAAAACATGGACCCATAAACCACTGATGAAGTGAAGATTTGGTATTGAAGTGATGAAAATTATCGAAGTCAAATTTTGACGCAATTAGCTTTAAATTATTTGATGTCAGTGTGGAGCATAGCAGAGAAAATAGCGATCTCAAGCTAACGCTTAACACTTATACCTATATTTATAGTTCGTTGTATTTCGAAATATTGGCGGCTGATTAACATACAATCAGCTTACAGATTTGTTAAATTATGCGAGTCTGAACAGTAGTTTTCACTGACATTGTTAACTCTCAAGTACAATGCTTTCGTTTTATTTAAATAAAAATGTGTTTATTGCTTGTTTAAATATAGTATACATATATGTAGGTATAGTGCTTATTTTACTTACAAAATAGTAAAATACATGGCCTCATTCAGGAGTTAAAAATTTCTCAGCATACTTTGGAGCGTTTTAAGCAGAATAAACTGATTTCTAGCGTCGTTTTATAACTACGGATGAGACTTGGATCTACCACCATAATCCTAAATGGAAACAAGAACGTTTACAGTGGACTGAAGCTGGTTGTTCAGCTCCAAAGCAAGAACTCACAACGATCAGCAAAGAAGGTTATGGCTGGTTACATTGTTTATCTGTAGAAAGGTAAAACAATCAACACTGAATACTATTCCAACCTTTTGAATCATCTGGATGAAAAAATTCGTGAGAAAAGACCTGGTTTGCAGCACAAAAAAAAAGCATCTTTCAACAAGACAATGAACCTGCTTACTAAGGTGTTTTAACAATGACAAAATTCAACGAATTAAAGTACGAATTGCTTGAGCATCCACCGTATTCAGCAAATTTGGTTCCCAACGACTACTAACTCTTCGGAAACCTCAAACAATTCCTTCGTGGAAAGCGTTTTTCGTCAAATGAAGAAGCTATTACAGCCGTAGATCTTGCAGAGAGATCATTGAAGCATCATTGGAATAAGTGCATTAAAGTTAATGGAGATTATATTGAATCAAACAATATATTATATTTATTTCGTGCCAAAAACAGTATTTTTTCATTTTGAGCGCAGAAACTTTTCTACCATCAACCAACCTGTACATATCTACAAGTATATAGTATATGTTTGTACAGGCATTTATGTACTTAGATATAAGTACTATACTCGTATAAGTAGTTACACGATTCATTTGCATTGACTTACAATTACATACTTATACTTATAAACAATTATATACTTAAATACCAGCAGTCAAGTGCACTTGGACTAATTGTTACTTGATAAATACAATACTTCCATTTCCGCATGAATACAGCTACATGATTGTATGTATGTATGTATTTAAATAATTTTGGAATTGAAGATCACTATTGGATAATATATGAAAATGTTGTTACAAACAAGTTATAAACGATTATTGTCAATGCTTTGACAGCTGCATCCGTTAAGTGAAGGTCAAGAAATTCGGACGGGTAGCAAAACAATATAAAGTAAATACGAGTATATCTAAATTTATGTAACTAATGTTCTGAAACCCTCATCTGTAGTAATATCGTTGTATTAAATTTTCGCTGGGCTCCGTCAATATATAGAGATTATATCGAAGCCTTTTTATAACCATTAAATTTAACAAAACTGATTATTTCTAATAAAAAAGTCGCTCTCCTTTACACACCACAGTTGTTAACGATAATATGTATGATATAAAAGAAGACCGAATTAGTCAGTAGTAAAGATTTCCAGATGAGTGTGTCTCTAATTGAAACCAAATTCGTAACAATTCTTTATTTGTTAAAATATTTGATTCTCTCGGTATGAGTAATAATTTTCTATAATTATTTTCAGCATCAATACAAAATGAGACTTACACAAATATTCTATGTAATATGTTTACTAAGTATTCCCGCCTGCATGTCGCAAAGCAGCGCGGAAAATTTCGAGGAAAAGCGACCGCATATAATATTTATTTTGGCAGATGATTTGGTAAGTACATATGTAAATTCTAAATTTCCTTAAAATGCTATAAATAATTTTACTAGGAAATTTACATTCTCATCGAATATATTGATGTAATATATTATATATGATTCAAATAGAGCAGTGGCTAATTAGAACTCCTCTTACTAGGGAAAGAATTGTCTGGTAAAGCTAATGAATCTCCGCAAGAGTCACCCGATCCAAATGTCGAGGAGTGGCCCGAAATATGATGAGGGAAGTTCTACTCACCCTCACTTCGGTAGCTCATTAGTTTCACTGTTTCTAGCAATTCCAGTATCATAGAATTCATAACTTACTTTGAATAAACAGTTCGTTCTCGGAAAGAGACTATACTTTTAAGCTATAGACGTGTGCTTGCAAAACGCTAAGCTTTTCTTGAAGTTTGGAGTTCATAAAGAGTTATTGAAGATGCTCACTGCTCCTTTTTTCTAGCAACCTACTCACACATTCCCTGGAGATATTAGGGCAGAGAATATTCCATATCTAAAGCACCAACCATTCCTAAACCGGATGATACAATAGATTGAACCCTAGTTTATAAGTACAGAGAGAGTTTAAAACCTGTATTATGTATTAGGAGTACTCTGTGAATAGAACACTTTTTATTATCTAATATATTATATTATTTCCAATTTTAGGGCTTCGACGATGTTGGCTTTCATGGTTCAGCACAAATTCCCACACCAAATATTGATGCTCTAGCATTTTCTGGACTCATATTGAATAATTATTATGTAAATCCGATATGCACACCATCCAGATCGGCGTTAATGACAGGAAAATATCCAATACATACGGGTGAGATAAAAATTTTAATAAATTATAGTTCATAATAATTCGTAAGTGTATGTGTATCTACATATGTGTATTGAAAAAGTGAGATCAGCCCTACTTGGTAACCGAGCTCTAAAGCCGTTTTTCTCTCCGGCTATTCTTATTCTTTTCAGGTATGCAACATACGGTGCTGTATGGTGCTGAACCACGCGGTCTACCCTTGACTGAGAAAATTTTGCCACAATACCTCAACGAATTAGGGTGAGCCCATTTAGCTATCGTGCCTATTAGAGGCTCCTCAGTTTTCCTGATATTTACAACATTTGATTTCATGAAATTTGAATTCCAGTTACTCCTCACATATTGCCGGCAAGTGGCACTTGGGTCATTACAAAAGCGTATATACGCCTTTACAGCGCGGCTTTAAGACACACGTAGGCTTCTGGACGGGACATCATGATTACTTCGATCATACAGCAGTGGAGCATGGAATGTGGGGTTTGGATATGCGAAAAGGTAATTGTAAAGAGTTTCACAAAAAGTAATTATTTTCTAAAATTTAACTGATTGGATCTGGTGTCTTTATATACTTGTAAGACTCTAAAACTACGTTATTAATAGTTTATGACGTTGAACTTTGACACAAAAATTCCACAGGTGTTAAAATTAAAAATTCTTAGACGAACTGTAATAAATCGTATTTTAATTATGTATCTACCTTTCGAGGAATGGATATCGGTTATGAATTTCATGGAAAATACACCACTGACATTGTAACGGATGAGGCGGTACGTGTGATAGCCGCGCACAATGCAACAGCCCAACCACTCTTCCTTTATGTAGCACATGCGGCGGTGCATTCAGCCAATCCTTATAATCCACTGCCAGCGCCTGATGAAGCAGTGGCTAAGCTGGATAAAATCGAGGATATGGGAAGACGAAGGTTCGCAGGTAAGAGAAAAAAGTACTAAATGAACAAAGTTGCCATTATACAATATTTTATAAAATGTGTTATTATTCGGGACGAAAGTTCTTGATTTTAAAGGTATATCAAAGAAGTAGGAAAAGATACAGATTTTGTTAGTTGATCGAGCTAGAGTTGGAAAGAGTTAGAGCGTTGAAAAGCAGTGGACAAAAAGTTTTCGGATGGTCGATAATTGCTAAAAAAAATCGCGCATATTGGTGGATGAGAATAACTGTCAGTCATTCAAAGCAATATTTTTAATTTTCTAGAAGTTTGCTAATAATTGTGAAAGAAATAATTCCGAAATTAGGCCTCCGAACATAGTGCGATTAACATAGTTTTCAAGGGCTGTTGCAAGATTTTGAGTGATGTTTGGCTTATGAACCGCCATCTTTAAATTTTAATTCAATTCTTGATAAGTTCAAGATCAGCAACAACTATTTTCTATCAGTGGTTAGCACTGGATAGACTATGTGCTATTTATTAGATTAGTTATTATTATTTAAACTTTTTCCATTTCCATTCCATACAGCAATGCTCACGCAGTTGGATAATTCAGTCGGACTGATCGTACAGGAACTGCAAAAGCGCAAAATGCTTGAAGACTGCATAATTGTCTTTAGCACAGATAATGGCGGTCCACCGCAGGGATTCAACCTTAATCACGCCTCGAATTGGCCCCTTCGCGGTGTCAAGAACTCAGTGTGGGAGGGTGGTGTGCGTGGCGCAGCGTTGCTGTGGTCACCACGTCTGCAGAAACGTTCACGTGTAGCCGAACAGCGTATGCACATCGTCGATTGGTTGCCGACTTTGTTGAGCGCGGCGACTGGCGGGCAAGCTCAACAACTGCAGTAAGTAACAAGCACACAAAATTGAGCGACACTTTATTGAATAATAATTTTTCATAGCAATGCCAGTGCAGCATTGGATGGCATTAGCATTTGGAATGCGCTTACGCGTGATGAACCATCGCCGCGTCGCAATATCCTGCACAATATCGATGATATCTGGGGCAGTGCAGCGCTCACTATGGGCGATTGGAAGTTGGTACTTGGCACCAATTATCCCACAATGTGGAATGGTTGGTATGGTCCACCGGCCGAACGCGATGCTGCTGCTTACGATTTGAAGTTATTACAACGTTGTCCGGTCGGCCACGCTTTGGCCACCTTAAATATGACACCCAGTGTGGCGGAGGTAATACGAATGCGCAGGGCTGCTACAGTTATGTGTGCGATGGAGACGCCGCCAAACATATGCGAGTATAAGGAGAAGAAGCCATGCTTATATAATATCAGAGATGATCCCTGCGAATACTATAATCAAGCTGAAAAGTAAGTGTGCAAGAAATGAATTGGGATTGAGCTTTAAACCTGGATATTTTCGATTTTTTTTTTTTAATTTTTAAAGTCGTAAGTGTTGTAGTCAAGTTGTGGAAGTTTGAAGAATAAGAAGCCCATCTCTTTCGCTTTCGTTTAGCGATGTCAGAGCTGTACCAACCAAGCGAAATATCCTAGCGAACGTAAAGTTTCGGTTTGCCTGAAGGGTGCTGATATCACCCCAATCTCATGCAAAGATCCTTTCCATCTTTCGCAGTAAATTTCTTGCTTAAAGCTTGAGGCTACTTCCTGGAGTATTTTACACACTCTAAATTAGAAACAGTTAGTTGATAGAGTTATAGAGTGCGAGTCATATACTGGTTGTGCGATTACACAGTAACACATCGACAGATTTTATTTAAATTTTTGGATTACTGATGTCCTGGGTTAACCTATATGACTTGAAAAAGTTATTACCTAGTGAGACCTCATCTCAAAGGAATACATATTGAACCCTTTTATGTCATAGTTCATTTTTTCACGTCACTTCTTGGTTTTATAAAGATAATTTTATCTATAAGGATACAATTTTAAGGATATTATCAAAAACAACAATTTTTCTTTAAATTTTTAAGATTTCCAAATAAAAATTTCTTTCTTATTTAATGTCAGATACCCAAATATACTCCAAACCCTTTTGGACCAACTGAAGCATTTTAATGAGACTGCTATACCCGCCTCCAACAAACCAGACGATCCTCGAGGTGATCCGCGTTTGCACAACTATGTTTGGACAAACTTTGGCGACATAGTAGAAAGCGCGCTTGCTGGAGAGCTTAAATGAACTTTTTATGAAAGTGTGTGTGTGAAAAAATAAAAATCGCATTATTTTGTTATAAAAATCGTCAAATATTTTTGTGTTTTATTGTAACATTTGCTTGTCCGTTTCATTGCTATAATATTAACCTAAGATTTACATGTGTTGGCTTGTATATAGTATATATAAGTATTTATATTTATAAACAAATATTAAGTATTTAGAAGGTAAGGAGTACAACTTAGCATAGACTTTTATGAAATGAGTTATATGTAGTAAGTTAAATACAGTCAGGTTGAGCGACTACTTCCAAATGGAGATGAAGAACATGAAGCTTTAAGTAAAGATTGTAAAGTTTGGGACTACAGGGTTAGCAGTTTCACATTAAAACTTTAAGTTTACTAACTGTTCTTATTTATATGCCACATGCATTTCATATACACGCACTAAATGCTAACTAGATAATATGCAAATACATTACGTATATAATAGTCTAGTGTTATGATGATTGAATATCGAGTATGGGTAATGTGTTTGTATGTATGTAATATGTTTCGGTATGCATGATGAGGAGCGTTTCATTTTTCCATGCCCGCCGTTTATTCGTGGGCTCGTTGTCCGCTATGGGTCGTCACATAATCGTTGCCATTGTCAGTTACTTAATATCGATAACCGTTGCCATCATTATCGCCATTTTGACCACCAGGTCCAAAACCATTTGGACGTCCACTTGAGTAACCCTGTCCATCGAGATTGTCTTGACCGCCCGGTCTGCCATCGGAGTAGCCGTTGCCATTACCACTGTACTGACCACCACCATTGCCATTGCCGTTGCCATTACCGTTCGAATAACCATTACCATTACCGCCACTGCCATTACCACCCGGACGTCCACTTGCGTAACCATTATCGCCTAAATCTTGTCCACTCGGACGTCCGTCAGAGTAGCCGTTGCGTCCGAGTCCTTGTCCGCCACCGTTGCCATTGCGTCCTTTACCATTGCGACCACTATAGCCGTTACCGTTACCGTTACCATTTCCATTACCATTACCATTGGGACGTCCACTAGAGTAACCATTGCTGCCTAAATCTTGTCCGCTCGAATAACCATTGCCGCCACCGAGTCCATTACCATTCTGTTCATAATCATAACCATTAGCGCCACCAGCACCGCCACCGAGACCACCGGCACCATTGTTAGCTTCACCTTCGTAACGAATCTGCGGACGATAACCACCCTGATCGGCTTCATAGTCAACGATCTATGTGGTCGTCAGCGCATTTAAACAAAAATAATGGTTGAGAGAGAGAGAGAGACAGAAAGTTGCGAAAAACATAAGCGAAATAAATTAGTTGTTCGAAGTTAAAAATCAAATAAATTTATAACTAAAATCCTAACCACTATGTATTATTATTTATACATAAGGATGAGTACCTAAAAGTATGCTTTCAACATATAGTGTTCCAAAAGTTCAACTATATTAAGCATGATACAGCTTTCGACAGCTAACCAATTGGATCAAAAACAAACTTTGATAATAATCAACATTTCTAAATGTAATGGTTCTTTTAAGTCTTCCGCGCGCTTCTAAAATAGTATCAATAATAAAATATCCTTACTTGCTTCCTTCCATCAGGCAACAACACATTGTATTGTCCCGTTGTATAGTCGCCATCGCGCATCTCTGAATGTCCGAAGGACAAACCACTCGGAGCATCTTCTACTTCGTAACTAAATTCGTATTGTGCCGGTTCCTAAAGAATAATAATGGTAAGCAGGCAAGTTTTGAAATAACTGAACAGTTCATAAGAAAAGCAAGGTTTGTGTGTGAAATAAGCGCAAAGTAGAGTTGCCAAAGTTATTTTGTAGCATTGGAAGGAGCCAAGTAAGAATATGTGTAAGCGTTAAAGGACACTCAGCATGAATTGCTGAGCAAAACTGTTTGCAAAAAGTGGCAATGTATTTAAGGAGAGTGTAACAACAGTTATTAATTTGATACTTTCATTGTAGTGTATACCGAAAACCATGGTGTAACTCAATGTACTTCAATTTCTACCCAAAACAAACTGTAAACGGTGTTTAATTCGGAATGGTTTTCATGTTCCAGCAACCTTGTGTGTCCTATTTTTTTCTTTATAAACTTTATAAAAAAGCTTAAAGTTAAGTAAAAACTCTTTTAACTTACACCGCTCTCTCCGCTATCACTGCCACTGCCGCTCTGAGAGTAATCATAGCCATTTGCTCCGCCACCGTTTCCATTACCTCTGCCGCCGTTTCCGTTACCATTGCGACCAGGTGGCAAGTATTCTTGTCCTGGGCGTCCACTTCCATTACCATTACCACTACCGCCATTCGAATAGCCGTTGCCATTACCAGAGGCTGGAGGACCATAACTATCAGAGGGCTTCTGTCCACCACCCAAACCATTCCCATTAAGACCTGGTGCGCCATAGGTGCTTGAGGGGCGTCCGTTGCCGTTGCCGTTACCATTACCACCTAAACCGGGAGCGCCGTATGTACTTGATGGGCGACCGTTGCCGTTGCCATTACCATTACCACCTAAACCAGGTGCACCGTATGTGCTTGAAGGACGTCCACCGCCATTACCATTACCGTTGCCATTACCCCCTAAACCAGGTGCACCATATTGCGATGAGGGACGTCCACCGCCGTTACCATTACCGTTGCCATTACCACCTAAACCTGGCGCTCCATATTGCGATGAGGGACGTCCACCGCCGTTACCATTACCACCTAAGCCAGGTGCGCCGTATGTGCTTGAAGGACGTCCACCGCCGTTACCATTACCGTTGCCATTACCACCTAAACCAGGTGCACCATATTGTGATGAGGGACGTCCACCGCCGTTACCATTACCGTTGCCATTACCACCTAAACCAGGTGCGCCATATTGCGATGAGGGACGTCCACCGCCGTTACCATTACCATTACCACCAAGGCCAGGCGCACCATATTGCGATGAGGGACGTCCACCGCCATTACCATTACCATTGGCTGAGGGTGGCAGGTAAGAGTTCACTGGCGGCTCGGGCCGCGCCAACACCGCTGACATCACCAACAATAAACTCACGAAACACCAAATTCTCGACATTGTAGCGTATTTCGTTTAGATTTGTTTTTGGTATGCCTTAATCGAGCCGAGTATCAGTTAAATACTTAAATTAACGTCAAAAATCTTAAAAACCAGACCAACTTATGTCAGGACTAATAGTCCTGTCTATGCAGCTGTGTCCCTATTGCACTGTTACACGCTGCCGAATATTGCGTTTTGCTACAAGACGCTTTGTTTTAGTAACACTCGGCCGACTTGACTATCGTAGTGCAAATCAAATGATTAAAACCCAAATTCTGACTGATTTCCAAGCACCAAATGTTGCCATATTTATATGCCACAAAGCAAAGACTTCTTTTTTGAAGCCGGCTGTGGAGAAGCCCCAAAAATATGCATATACCTACATGTATATATAAATAAATATAATAAAGCAGAAGAGCCATTCGAAAAGCGAGAGGATTTCCACAGCACTACCAAGTTATGATTTTGTTGCACTGATTGTTTTTGTTTTCAATTGATGTGAGATGCTGCAAATGCTCCACACGCGGCAGCCTCTAAGACTGCTTTAGTTGTGTAGCCGTTGACGTTGCTGCCACTCGTCATTCACCTACAAACGTTGCAAGTACTAGTCGCGATCAGTAATCGCAGCCGCCGCCGTTCATCTTCATTTCGTTCTCCTGCAGCGGCAGCTGTGGGCTCGCATTCGCATCATTCGCTTTGTTAGACAGCCGCCAAGATTCTCTTCATAGCTTCAATCGTTTGTTGGATGAGTAAATGAAATCAAAAGTAAGCGAGCAGCGCAGGCCGTTCGCCCCCTAGTGGCATAATAAGTGCAAAATGTGGCGCAAAGGCGACAAAACTGCGCCGCCGCGTCAAGAAAAAAATATTTTTACTTTATAAAATATTAATATAAAATAGTAAATGATTTTTTGCTGAGCAACAAAACTGTTGAGAAATCTATAAATTGATGCCATTTTACTCATGTGGGTGCAAAAACAATGCGCATGCGCATATAGTGAATGGATTGATAGCGCGTGCGCGCGTTTATGCTCTTTTTCTTCTTTATCTTCTTGACAAGAGACAGCTTCTGCTGCGACGTCCTACATCAATGCCATCGGCAATTGTTAGCGCCCATATGGGTTGCTGCGCGTGTTGCCAAACAGTAAGCGAACCAACTTGTGATCATCATCGACCTCATCATTATATGCTTGTAGGTGATTGTGATGTGCGAACAATGTGCGATGACTTCTTGGACGATCTTTAGTTTGCGGCGTTTGCTCACTACCATTCACATATGAATGTTAGAAGTACGAACGGCACGTGCTTGTGTATGTGTGTGTGTGTTGTATTTTATACTTTTGTCAACTTCCAAGTTAGCTAGTCAAATGTTGGCATAAATACATACGCTAACCGAATTATTCTCAGGCGGAGACAGCAGAAATCGTGCGACGCTAAGGTTCACAGGAAATTGTCAGCAGAATGAATGACTGCCAAGCGGCCTTGTGATATACTATATTAGTTGAGCGTCTCTTTATTAAGACTAGACAGAATTTACAGATAATTTTGTATTGGAAAGTCATAGCTCTTGGGCTGATTCGCAAGCTATTAAATATACTAAGACTACAATGGCAGTATTTATTCTCGTGTCTCGACCAAGCGCCTTGAAACCAAACCAAATATGCTGCTGAAGGTGTTAGATCAAATACGTTTCAGGCTTGATATTACCAAGGTGGTACAGCTAAGAGAGAAGAAAGTGTTGAGCTAATTCAACGTCGTATTTTTCCAATCAACTTTTATAATTCGGTAAGTGTATACCGATTCGAAAAATTAAACGAAAACATACCACTAGTGCAAGGTTAAAGTTTTCTGAGATTGAAGAGCTCACTAGCACTAGTATTCGAGCTATCCAGTAGTAAAATATAAGTAGACTACGGAGCTCCGCTCTATTGCAGTACTACTGATAGTGAAGCTGAGATTCCTTTTCTTGCAAGCTCATTGGCTTTGAAATTATCTGCTATTTCGATATGACCTGCTCCCACTAGTTTTATTAATAAGTAATTTAGTGTATAATATTTTTTTTTTTATTTTGGATCGGATTAACCTAAATATCATAAGCTCTCTAAAATCTTCACTAGAGTCTATTCGATACAGAAAACAACGGATGAGATGGTATTTGTCAAATATCGACAAGTTGCATTTCCGTTTAAATATTCAATTACTATATACTGATTGACAACACTTTCTAAGCTTCTGCTTAAGCTCGATTAGGACTACCTTAATCCTTCTACTTATGTGGGATTCTGTTGAATTTTTCGTAGCTATTTACTCCACAAGAAACCTAACTTGGTGTCGCAGTTTAATTGGGCTGGTATTGGCTTACATTCAGGTTCTAAATTCGACTGCTTTTGGCAACACATTTAAGCTTAGCTGCTTGAATTTTATCCATTTGTTCGAATTCGATCATCGGCAATGACGATCAGGCCAGTAACTGCATTTTTAACTCAGAAAAGCAACTCATGAAATCCATAAAAAAATGTAGACAGCGTTGTAGAATATCTTCTCAGACATCTTTTTTAGCACTTTTTATGTTAAAGCAACTCAAACCTAGTAGTAAGGAGGGAAGTATGCTTGAAGACTTTCAAGGAATTTCTGAAAATATACATGAATACCTATGAACAGTAAGTGATTGTGGTAATTTGGTCATTCCTATTGCCGAGTAGACACATATTCGCATATGATTCCTAGTAACTAGAGATTTTAGGGTCTACCACTACGGTAGATCACTTGAGAGGGATTTTAAAAATTCATGTACTCCACTCGTTTGTTGAAAGTATTAAGCGAAGAATAATATGGTTGGTGTTATAATGACGCCCTGGTATATGGAAACCTTACATTCTTTTGACTCGAACATATTCGAGGCCATTTAAACGACCTTTTTACTCTGGCTGGCAGTAGTACTTTTTACCTCTCTTTGGAATTATGTGGTATCTACTGTAAGTCCAACAGTTCCGCAATACCAGCACTAAATATTAATCTTCTTGGTTATGCAAAGCACAAAAACAATTAATTTTTAGTGCAATCGACTGCTGCCACCCCCACAGTGTCGGGTTACTGCACCATAGAACGCCAAATAACGAAAAAGATTTGCAATTCGACTGAAGCGTGATTAAAATATCAACGCACAAGAATTGTAAGTGAACTGGAAAACATAGTTACAACAACGACAATGACGACAATACTAGAACCACACACGTGCTTGGCGTTGACATCAACAACAACAACAACAAACGCAAAATAAACAATGCAAATTGTTGCACGCACGACCACCAACTCGAGCATCAGCCGAACACAGCGCCAGATCCTACTCCGCCGTCATGCGGCAGCCAGCGCCGCGCGTTTGCGCAAATGCCTAGCACAGTAGAAATAAAAAAAAAAACGAAACGTGCTATAAAATTAATTGCATAATATTTTTCATGCAATTTACAGCTGTGTACGTGTACGTCGCCGAGTGGGGTGTGCATAGGTGCCCAGGTACGTACGTGTAAGTACCCAGAATGCGTGATTGCGGATTCGAAATGCAGTTCGCCGCACCGTAGGTATATCAGTGTAGTCGTATGTGCAAGTTGCACTCGTCGCCACACTTAAACGGATATAAATTTTACTATGAGTATGCGTTTTTCTACGGGTAATTTAATTTATTTACCTATTTTTTGTTTTAATGGAGTTTTAGTGATTGTTCGCTCGGGGCCAAAGGGTCGCTAGCGATTTCGTTAATTTGTCAACACTCTTACCACGCATGTACATGTGTATGTATGTGTATACTCGTATGTGTGTATGTCAGTAGAGCGCTTGCGTTCGGCTGTACGCTGCACGTGGTGGTAGGTGGCAACGTATCGATTCGCTTGTCGGTGGCTTTGCCATTTTGACCCAACGCCAGCCAGAGATTAACGTCATGTGCACAATGGAAGTTAATATGTTTCACTTAAACGGAGTTTATTGTTTGTACGCGCGAGCAAATATACCGAAGTAACAGCCGATACATATCGATAGTGTTGGCTCGATACCGCGTTTATTGCGGTAAATGTGTTATGCTTAGTGCCGTTACTTTCTAATATTTTTTGATTTGAGAAGTAATGGCGGTCAGTGGGTTAACGGATGTGTTAGGCCAGAAAAGATGGGCCAACTGATAATTGAGTAAATGCCATAAATACCAAACGCATTTCGTAATAAATGTTGGTGTTACTAATATCTCTAACAATATTAACTATTATGCTAAGTCAAATCTAATCTAATACTAGTACAAGTATATACTTTGAACCAAACCAAAGCGCTTTTGCTGGCTTCCGCTGTTGCAAAATATTTATCTACTATTCAACCAGCAAGTGTAATCGATCACTGCTTCCGACTAATATAAGTAAGCCAATGCTTAGAAGTAAAATATCTTGTTTTTATAAAACAATTATAACCATGCGTTAAAAAAGATTTAAAGTTGTTAGAATTTCGTAATTTCTTTTTCAACCTATCTGTCCAATGTGTTTTAAGTTGGAACATTGAGAGTGGCTGATATCTTGTCTCAATCGGGTGTCGTATTATCATTCGTACATGCTGTGATACCCTTTGTTGACCCCTACTATGATGCTTAGTTTTCTCTTACCTAAAAGTAAAAGCGTTTTGGTCTGTCCACCATGCCCTGTCTGTCAAGATTTTACCTTGGGGAGTCGCAAGCCGAGCAAACAAGAGATATAAATGCAAAGACTGTTAAAGTCAGATCTACATGTATATATGTATATAGAATAGCAAGCGAATACAAGTATATTAGGGGTAGTAAAAAGAAATCCATTATTTTTGTATGAAATTGAATGCTTTAAATATTACTTTTCGTATCCAGCCTTATTCAAATGGTTCCAAACGGTTTTTAGTGCACTGTTTAGGTCCTGGGCAGTCCTAATCGATGTTTGGATTCGGCGATTTTCATTATTTGATAAATTTTTTCGATAAATGGTCTTCCAGAGCGTGGTGCATCTCTGACATAGAAATTACCGGAACGCAATCAACGAAACCAAAATTGCGCATGATTGGCTGTTACAGTATCAGGACCATAAACACTATTCACATTTTCAGCCTGGCTTGCGTTTTCGCCCTTATCGAAGAAAAACTGTAAAATATAGCTATTTTCTCTTTGCTAGTGTCCATCTTTGACGCGCGCTCAATCAAAACTAAATCAACCATTCCCAAAACTTTTAGTTTTTTTTTAGTACGAAATGTCATCTGTCCAACGCCATCCAGCGGAACCCGATCGGAATTATACAACGCGATATACAGTTAAATAACGCCATATATTGGAAAAAATATAGCAATAATAATTTTTTTTACTACACCTAATATTACTTTGATGGGCCATCTGTATACTCTCTTATAAAAAATTCAACTTAGTCTGTTGTTGTTCAATTTCCAATCGAATAATGAAAAAAAGACAAGAGAAAACGTTAAGTTCGATTGCACCGAAGCTATAATACTTCACCTCACAAATAGTACAAAGGCTGCTTACAAGAACTTGATTCCGATATCGGCCGTTCCGACAAAAGAGCATCTTCTTAGTGAGAAAAGGACAGCTGCAAAATTCCAGGTAGATAACTTAAAAACTGAGGGACTAGTTTGCATATATACAGACGGGCGGACGCACAGACAGACGGACATGGCTAAATTAACCCAGTTCAACATGCTGATCATTTATGTATTTATTTTATAGGGTCTTTGAAGTTTCCTACCTTGTTCAAGGTACAAATATCAGCAGAGTCGTGAAAAGGGAATTGAGTACCACATAAGTATTCCTGTCAAAGCTTGCATGGGTAATTCTCGCGACAATCTGGTCTTTATAATGGGTACGGAACTGTAATTTTAAATGACCATTCCCCAATTTCAATAACAACAACGCTTCCGTATATATATATGTAATATAATATATAATATTAAATATTTTTTTATACAAAATTAGTGCACTTTAACTGAAAAATGCTTTCTTCTAAGTGAAATATAACGATAAAGTCTTAAACAAATATGCATATATTGAAACATAACTGTAAACGTAAGGTATAATTTAAACTAAACTAAGACGCACGAATATTAAAAAATTGTAACCCAAAATAAGTCTGTATTATTTTATAAATTTATTTATTTTTATCAAAGCCATTTAGTGCTTTCGAAAACGTTTTCGCGTCGTTCCGCCAAGATGGCTTGTAGATTTGCCACGACTCCCACAAACAGAAGAAGTTGACAACGTAAATCGAAACACAAACCACACACAAATCTTCCAGCACGAAATACAACAAATATGCCAAGTAAACAGAGAGTAAATTGGAAGCAAGACAGAGTATTAGCTGCAGCCAGGCGAGAGGTCGGTGTCTTGGTGGTGCTGCGAGGAGAAAAAGAAAAGAAAGTTCCAATATTTTATTGAAAGAATTTTGAAGCAAGTTTTGTATCGCCAACTTTATGCTTACTTAGTAACAGTAGCAGTATATAGAAGCCAACACCGAGTACACCATTCGGTGGATTCCAGCTGGTAAAGTATTGTGTGAGACCAAATCCTTTGCCGTAGCTGATATAAATAAATTTGAACATTAAAAAGAAAATAAATATTTACTACTTAAACTTACTTTGATGTAAAGACTGCGGTGCAGCTGATTTTGGGACTCAAATCGCACATTGCCACGTAGTCAGCATCCCTTTCCGCTCTCAGCTCCACATATGTGGCATAGACGGACAGCAGCAGACCCACAAGACACCAAACACGAAAACGTAAAAGCGATTTACTCATTTTTTGTTTAAAAACTTATGAACCGGCGTTCAATTTAATACAAAATATATTATTTTATACTTTTCCGCTTTATTTAACGTTTTGGCACAGCGTTTCTCAGCATTTGGTAAGCATTTGAGAGCGCTACTGACTGTTGCAAATAAAATTTCTTTGCAAATTATCGCAAATGATTGCGATTGCCGTCGAACTTTGGCCTTACGGCGTCGTATAGATAGAGAGGGTGAAGTCACGAGAGTGGCCAACGTGTAAGTTTCGCATTCTTCACCGTTTGAATAGAGTAATGTGCTCTATTATGTAGCTGTAACGTTTAGCTGGCCACTCTGAGGCGCATGCGTATGAATAATATGAATTTTATTATTATTCAATACACCTGCCCACCGTTTACTCTGCTTCCGTCTTTGAATTTGTTTACTCAGGGTGTGATGTTTAGTTGTTTTGACAGCTAGAAGCGTCAAGCAACAGGTAGAAGAAAGATAATTATGTAAATAAGATTTGCGTTAAGTGCAAAAGCCCATGGTATAAGGGGTGCATTGGTTAAATGAGGATATGTACTTCTGCGTGAAGGAATTTTTATGCAGAGAACTTTTCGAAGTCGGTTAGAGCATTATGGAGAGTGTTTCATGCCTCTGGTTATACTGTTTCTCGACTCATTTAAGAAGACATATAAGTGATATACGAAGAATAGAGCTCAGTACAAATTACTGCAAAGAAGGAAGAATTTATCATCCGCAAAAAAATAGTTAAGAACAAGGGCGAGCATACCGAAACTTCGAACATAATTCGGTTTTTGAGATGAAAAAGTTTCGTTCCGGAACAAAAAAATGAATCGATTGAAATTTGTATCACTAAATGGTGAAGCTCGTATCTTAAATTATCATATCACACTTCCGGCAACAGTCATGGCTTAGAGCGTGGAAGAGTGAAGGTAATGTTAGCACCCATTTTAGAAGCATTTAAGAGGTTGCGATTACCTTCAATGGATTGGAAGTGTAATTTCAAAGCTAGATTACTCTATTTAATGTAGAATCTATTAACTAGCTTATTATGTCCTTGAATTCGTTCAGAAGAACTTCCGTAGGGACAGACTGTAATCATCGAAAGATGAATATTTATGTAGTCTAGAGGAGGAGAAATAGAACTTTGCTTCACGTTTAAACGGTAGTTTTCAATTTAGTAATCGGAAGAAATTCTTTATAATATCTTTTCTGATACAGTCTTCAAAATTTATTCGCAATTATACCAATCTGACGATAAATGAAGGCTACTGCTATTACAAGGATTTGGCTAAGTGATCAGTGATACATACTGGTTCCTTCAAATAATTGGATAAGATATTTCACGGGAAAAACTGCAAACTTACTTAGCACATATTTAGTTATTTGGAGAGTGACCCAACGTGAAGAGCTGGTTCGATTTAGCCATGTCTATATATGTATCAGTTTTTGAGATATCGATCTGAAATTTTGCACCTGTTCTTCGCTCATCAATAAACTGCTCATTTGTGGGAATGGCCAATATCGGAGCACTATCACATATAGCTGCCATACAAACTGACCGGTCAAAGTTCTTCTAACGAATCTTTTATATTTGTGAAAGGTATTACAGTTTCGGGTCAGCCAAAGTTAACATTTTTTCTTGTTTTTATATTTGAGTTGCAATCATAAATAATTATACCAGTTTATTTATTTATACCAGTTGCTTTTTCGATTCGCTGTTTACCAATATACGTGAATAACCCACTAACAACTTTTAGTTCTTTGAAATCTAACAAAATAAATGTATTATTATATTAAGTAAGCCAATAAGATTCTACTAGATAGGTAGTCAGGGTGGATGTCTGACCATAGGCCGCTTGTGAAACCACTGAGTCTAAAATCCCCTCACTCTACTAGGTACTAAGATTCTGCAGAAGAACTTTTATGTATACATTTCATTCATAGTCGCACTCTCGCTGGCAATCCGTCAGACAACCTTCAAAGTCAGCCACATAACGGTTTGTATACGCAAATTTAATTGGTCCATGTTATAATATTAATCACTTATGCCGTTACATATAACTTAACACATATCTTAACGCCAATGTACGGATTCTTTCCTCTTCTCATTGCTCATTCATTGCAGCTACTGCTTACAACAAAACTTCTTTATATACTCATTTATTGCTCTACAACAACATAAGCGCAGATTTTTGGTTTCTTAATTACATGTATTTAAATTTATTAACTTAGAAAGTTAACTTAAATGTGGCAATCATGGCCGCTATGCTAAAGAAACGACCAACCATTAGCAGTTGTTGTGAAGGCTACAGTTTCAACGCGCGCAATGCAACGCCAGAAGCGTGTATGTGTTGCAGCCACAGCGGCAGCCACGTGCAACATGCGAATCTGTATTGCTGCGGGGTTAGATCGTAGCGTTTTGCCTTAATGCTGTTTGTTTTAGTCAAAATTTAATTTTCATGCTATTTTCAGCTATTTTTCTGTCTCAAGTTAAGCATTTTTTTTTTTTGTATTCTTTTGGTGGTTTTAGCTTCTAGTGAGATCTCGAGCATTTTCTGTTTCTGCACGCGTCATGATTTATTTTGCATTTACTTTGAGGCGGCACGTTCTCGACTAGGATGTACGGACATATATACATGTTTGTGTGGCAAGTACTGCATAACGGTGTTATGAATATATAACTGTAACTCGAAATTCATATTTTTGACTACCCAACTGTCTGTCCGTCCATTTGCTGCATGAAGAATTGCTCAACGTCATGTGGCAATAGTTTGAAATAATTAAGTTATACGACAGCGAGCAGTTACACCAGCTCCTAACTGCTGGCTGCTCTTCTGCCACTTTGACGTTGACTATTTTCAGTTGTGTTGATTTTGTGTCCGCGTCGCGTTTGTTGCGGATTCCTCACTTTGCGCGTCACGCGTTTTATCATGGTCGCAACAGTCACTAAGCAAATATTGTAACAACAACAAAACCAGGGTGATGATTTATTATTTGAAGTGAATTTATTTATATACTGTCAGAGTTCCATACCGTTAGATGACAAGGCAAGCAGAACTTCAACAGAGAGAGATACAGTTTAGAGCCAAGGTCCTATAATCGTGTTATTAGGTGTCTCACCAATTTCACTTCGATAGATTAGGCAGTGACAGTTTTTGGTAAGTTTGAAACAGAAATTGTAATAATGAGTACATGAATTTGCGAGAGAGACACATTGAGCATTTTAAAGGGCTGGCCACACCTAATTTACAAAAAACTTGAATATGTATATCGGTTATCTAACTTGAACTCCAATAAGGTCAGCTCTTCCTGGGCTCTTAAGGGCTCCTGCTATCAGTGATACCAGAGTTATATCACTGATCAGACCCTGTAGCCGAAACTACTAACAGTTGATCTTTCGTACTGGTCTTGACTGGCGATCAAGAGTTGGACCTCATAGGTATATTACACGCACACAACATTCACTTCAACAAGCTAATATTAATTCACATTTAAATGACTCTACTGTTTGGCATTCCGACTATTGGAGATCACATCGTTAACATCGAATAGTCCATGAGTTCAACTAAACTCTGTACTTGCAAGGTTTACAATGTCCGATTGAACGAACGGACAGACAGATATCCGGAAATCAGTTCAGCCAACGCAATGGGGCATATGGAAGCTGTCGGTGTGATAAGTGCCGAGTTTGCTCACTCCGGACAACAAACGCTAACGTTAGAGCCCTTACGAAAGAGTTTCCGCCGCGGACTTCACCCAGCCAACCTGCTACGAAGGAGTCGCAAACTGTCCCATCGGCCGAAATAGTGATGGCTACCAATTTCTGAAACTCACAAGGTATGATCTGTGCTATGATATGAATTCATGAACAAGTAAAAACGGCACGATTTGGTGAAGCTAAAAGTGCTTCTTCACCATAACAACCAACAGACTTATACATATGTACGTCCATCGTCGCTACACCGAAATTTGTCGAATGAACTGCTATCTCATATACCGTATTATATAGATCTGGCTCCGGGTGATTCTTTTATTTCCAAATTCAAAAAATTCAAACGCCGGACATAAGTTAGAGTCGGTTGTAGAGGTTATCGCCGTCACTACGTACTTTGCAGACCTTCAGGAGAAGTATTTTTAGGCGGATTTAGGAAGTTGAAGCATTAATGTGTTAAGCGTTTCTAATCAAGAAGAAATCATGTAGGCTAAATATATAGCGGACCGCTTTGGATACCTGCATATATGAAGAAAATGATCCCGACTTGTGGTACAAAACCTTAGATCCTATAAAAATCCATATAAAAGGTAACTGTAACGAGCTGAGTTGATTTATCCAAGTCCGTCTGTCTGCCCGTCTGAATATACGCCAGCTGGTCCCTCAGTTTTTCAGATATCAATCTGAAAACTTGCCCACGTTGATTTCTCCCCATTGCTGCCCACTGCTCATTTGTCGGAACCGATATCGGACCACTATAGCATATAGCTGTCATACAAAAACTGTTTTATATGACAAGATATCCTCACGAAATCTGACATGAATTATTGCCTAAAGCAACGCTACAATCTCCAAAGAAATTTTTCAGATCGAACCACAATAGCATATAGCTGTCATACAAACTGAGCAATAAAAATCTAATTCTTGTATTGATAACTTTTTTATTTGTAAAGGATATTACCTCTTCGGTGTAACCAAAGTTAACAGTTTTTCTTCTTATGAGACATTTTTAGCAATATAAAACTGTATAGCTGTCGCTCACAAACAACAACAACGTCTTGTATTAGAAAGCATCCCCCAACTTTCATTTCAGCTTCATTTAAATGTATGTCATGCTTTACAGGCTTATTACTGCATGAAAAATGTTATAACGGTAAGCATTTACGTACATAGATGCAACATTATGTGGCACATTTGAGTCAAAGTTGCGGGCTGAAATGTGATTGTCGCTGATTTGTTGCGCCGAAATGAACCAGCATACCACTTAATTTATTACAGCACGAATTTTAGATGCGCAAGCATGTACATACGTATGTATGTGTATACGTAACATTTATGTATGTACATATGTCGGTAATTGAATTTATCGTGTGTTTAGGCACATTTAATTGCGGACAAAATTAAAAAAAAGAGCAGCAAAATTAAAATGAATTAAACGAAATTTTACATACCATTAAAGATATTAATATATAATATAAGAGCATGCTTACATGTGTATGTGTATGTGTGTGAGTGTGTTTCAGTGGTGATCTGCTTTTGAAAAAGTGGTCGATTTGTTTTCGCGTTAGCACACTGACTGACTGACACGCTTTCTGACACAGCTACCATCTAAGTTGCCACCCGCCGTCTGTCAGTCCGCCTACTTGCCTTGCATGCGCACAAACGCCCTCCCTGCCGCCGCTGCGCACTTTGACAAATGCGGCAATCAAAGAAGATGCAACATGGGACCGCATGA